TGCCGCTCTGGGCCAGAGCGAAGAGAGGGGAGGCCAGGGGACAGCACCATCTTATCTCCTGTGCTATTCTAATAATATGTTATAATATAATATATAATATATTGTATATACATATAATATTTATAATATTGTAATGTAATGCAATATAATACTACTAATAATAATATGATATTATAATTATATATTTATATTACATGTAATATTACTAATAATATTACAGTATAATTGATATAGTGCAATATAGCAATATTTAAAACTGATATTGTACTATGTTAATAATATATTGTATGTATATATACCTTGTAAGCCGCTCTGAGTCCCCTTCGGGGTGAGAAGGGCGGCATATAAATGTCGTAAATAAATAAATAAATAGGTCAAGGGAGAATCAGGAACCAGAACACAAATATAGTAAATAAATAAATATTTACTATATTTACTAAATATACAAATATAGTAAAATAAATAAATAAATAAATAAATAACACTGACATATTTACACATTTCTCGACTGATAAGCGTTTGAACAACTTGAATGTATTGTTTCACATACCCAACAGGTTAATAATCCCCTCATTATAGGCAGCAAAAAGCCGAATTGAATCTTTAAAAAGGAGCATGAAGGCAGCATTGATCACACCATTCGTTAGTTCATTAGGGTTGGCCTGTGTAGAAAAGCAGAAAGAGTTTTCAGATGTTAAATCACCAGAAAGTGAAACAACAACATATTTTGGTCCCTGCATAAACATAAAGAGTGAGCTCTAGCAGAGAGGCCGTCTAATGCTTACATCAAAATCAAGCAGTGCATCGAGCTGATTCTGAATAATCGGAAGGGTCTTCAGAAGCTTTTCGGTATTCATTGTTCTCATCACACCATCAATCCTTCAGAGACAGAAGGCAAAATAAACCAGAATTATGCAAGCCATCCAACACAATGCCATGCAATGATAGCCCTACAGACCAGAGCAGAAATGAGAAACCCGCTGTACTTCAAGTGTTACTAGACTCCAGTTCCCATCAGCCCTTGCTAGCATAAACAGAGGTGAGGTTTAACAGGAATGATAGGATGGAAGTTCCCAAACATGGAACTGCATCCACTTTTAATCTTAACTAGTAAGGACCCGCTTGAAATGAATGATATTTCTCAGTCGCTGCTTACCAAACTTCCACTGATTTCCATGGGGGTCACTCTAGTCAAGATTAACAATGAATTTAGGTCTAAGACTAAAAACTACAAAAACTCAGGGAATATTATGTATCATATGCAATTCCTTCAAATAATGTGTTTCTATTAAAAACACAGTGCCTTTTTTGTATTTTATGACAAAAAATTGCAGGTATTATTGTAAATTCTTGAATATAAGACGACCCAAATATAAGCCGAGGAACCTAATTTTACCACAAAAAATGGGGAAATGTATTGACTCGAATATAAGCCAAGGGTGGGAATGCAGCAGCTATTGGTAAATTTCAAAATAAAAACAGAGACCAATACAATTACATTAATTGAGGCATCAGTAGGTCAAATGTTTTTGAACATTTACATAAAACTGTAATTTAAGATAAGACTGTCCAACTCTGATAAAATCATTATTCTAACCTTCTTCAATATAAATGTGCTTATGTATCCTTCCAATAATAAGAAAGAAAGTAAAATAATAAATATAATAATAGAGGAAAATAATAAATATAATAATAAAAATAGAGTAAAATGATACATGTAATAATAATAGAGTAATATAATGTAAATATAATAATAACAAATAGAGTAAAATAATAACTGTAATAAAAATAATAACAGAATAACTTTGACTCGAGTATAAGCAGAGGGGGGCTGAAAAACCTAAAAAGGGCTGAAAAACCTTGGCTTATACTCAAGTACATACGGTATTTAAAATTTCACTTTAGTCTGTATGTTTCGTTCAGATGCCTAAACTCCTTTCACACTGACCCCTGCCGTGAACATTTGGTCCCATCAGACATGCTGATGGTGCGGAAATAAAACAGTATGGAAATGTATAAAATACTTGCCCTCTTTTCATTTTGGTGAAATCAACTGCTACAAGCCTATAAGAAAGTGCTTTTTCATTCAAGTATCTGCTATATCGTCTGATGAAGGTAGACATATCGTAGCCTGGAAATGAAATGTTTTTAAGTTAGACATTTTCATACTTCTACATGGTCTAATCTTTTCTATTCAGTATGAAGCACATTCCAGATTAATTCTAGTTTCCCAAGCACTGCCTTCCCACATTTTCCACTATATTCCAAAAGGTGTAACTGTTATAGGAACAAATTAATATACCTGCTTGCTCAGCAAACATGCATTTCAAAATTACAAACTTTACTTAAAACCGTGTTTTAAAACATAAAATAGGAGTTTCTTTAATGAGAAGAAATAATATCCCTATAGCACTTATATTTGCATATATTTACTTTGGAACACATTTTATTAAATCCTGTAGGATTCACATATATACAATGGATGGACCATATCTGTAGTGCCCCATGTTAGAAATAGCAACCTTCCAAGCCGTCTCTATTTGTTTGTTAATGTATATATTTGCTAACCTGTATTGTATGTATATATTGATTTGCCAGTTTGACTGACCTCTTTTGTGTGGGAAGGGCTACAGACATGTGATTGTACCGAGCATGTTCAAACTCAAGACTCCATTTAGTAATCAGTATGTTTTTGGACTTCAATGTTAGCAGTTCGCTTTAGACCTCAGTGGAGGTGGATGCAGTATGCTTTTGGACTTTAATGGAAGCAGATGTCATTTGGACTTATGCAGTTTACTATATGTTTGCTTTGAGAAGCAATGTGTACAGTTATACAGTTTGGACTTTCATAAGATGTATACTTAAAGATTTTGGCCTATTGACTATTGATTAAGAGTGATGCCCTGTGTTCTCAACACAGAGAAACTACATCCTATCTATAACTGAACTTTAATAAGAAATGTGCGTGTATGGTGAATTAATACAAGATGTTTGTGAGTAAACAAGATATGTTACTTTTTAAAGAAGACTTTGTCTTTTGTCTCTGACTGCATATTTTAAACTACGAGGTTTCAAGGGGGAAAGTGTATATTTTGGGCAACTGCAATTTCAATTTCAACTTCAAAGAAACATTTTCAAAACTCCGCTAGCCAAATATATGTTATTTTGTGCAGTGGCATGTCTTTCTCCTTGGCAGTTCAAATACATGGTTTATCAGTTTAACAGCTGAGTTACCTGTGTGCCATTACATGAATGCTTGTGAACATCACTTTTTCAAAGGGTTGACTTCTAACAAGGTCATGCCTTTCCTTGACTAGTGGTTTTCAAAAGGTGGTCTCCAGATGCTCATGGAGATTCACATTTGCCAAAAGGATATGACATAACTTTTCCTTTTCAAAAAGGTTATGACATCATTTTTCCTTTTCAAAAAGGTTATGAATGCCATTTTTCCCCAAAACGTCAATAGTATATGGGGAAGATAAACAGAATAACTAAATACACTGGAATCCCTAACATTCCTTCTACTATTAAAACATTATGCAGCTTGAAACTTTCCCTTTCAAAGAATACAGAAATTCTTACCCTGCATTGCACTTTTATCCAGGTAGTTGTTGAGATTAAACAATGTATTTCGAGATGCCAGGTACTGGATGAAGCGCTATTGGTGGAAAAAATCAAATTCCAGATTACATTGATGTTTCACAAAAATAACTATGTTGCAGAAGCAAATTGCTAAGCACCTCTGGGGGATATACACTGACTTGGAAATATTTAAGATAAAGCAGAAATATTAAATCTACTAAAAGACTTGAGTTTGCAGTCACTATCCAGAGAAACAAACCTGGATTAACTGAGTCAAGTAACCAAGTACAATGTGTGCAATCAAGTGCGAGTGCAACTAAATCCACAACTCTCGCACAAAGGGCAACAATATTAATTAGCGAACACATCTTTGCATACAACTCTCTTTTGCTAGAAAATACTCAGACCATGTTTATAACAACATGCAAACACTACTGAGATTCTTCACCGTGATATGCCAGCAGAATTCAATCAATGCATAATAAACAAATAGAGTTTGTGTAAAACTAAAGCTATGTACTCACACAACACACACAAAAAAACACCAGTGCTAATATCTGTAATAAGGTAACATGTCAAATGAAGTATTTTCCAATTAGTTTTTCAGTAATAAGAGAAGGAATGGTCTCTAAGTTCACCAATCCCCACACACACTTTTTATCACTTGGATCTCATAAATTACTCGTAACTTCCAAATAAGATTACCAGAACTGGACAAGAGCACACCTGGCGGAGACCCATTCATGATCTCTCCATGAATGGAATTAGCAGACAAACAGAAGAATGAGAAAGGACAGCATTCAGAAATGCAGAACATCTGGAAAAAGTGGTCTAAATCTCAAACATATGTATGCAAGTACATAATTATAATGGCTGGTGTATTATGCTTATTCTGCTTAAGACTCCAGGCAGAATATTCCTAATGCAATTACATTTTATGCTACACGTGTTATCATTATTAGAAACAAAAGAAATCCTTTAACAGTAAAGGTAAATTTCAATAGACTAGCATTTCCTCTATCTATCTATCTATCTATCTATCTATCTATCTGTTAGAAGCTGAGCCAGCACATCTGTCTTGGTAATTTAACACTCTTAAAACTTTGTGATAGTTTATACACAACTATTTGCTTTCTAGCAAGAGAAGAGTCATATATACAATTCATATTGGCATACCAACTTGTTCCATTGCATCCAAATTCAGAAATCACAAGCGCCTGAGTGCTCTTTCTGCTATTAAGCATAGTGCTGCATCACAAATGACTAATATCTTACCTCGTTTCCGTACATCATGAGGTCGTGTGTTGTAATTAGAGCTTTGAACACTACTACCCAGCTACTGTTTGCCGTCCGCTCAAAAAGGGTGTCTGCCAGCTGTGGAATATTCACATTCATCTCATTTGTGCACTGAATTAGATCTAAAACATAAGAAACAATCCAGTTAAGATGCACTTATGGGACTGTGCCAAAAATAATAGATTAAATGTGCCATTACATAGGAAATCAGGTTAGGAACACTACTGTCAGGAACCTGACTTAGCCTTTTTTGTTTTCACTCACTGTCAACCATTCTTCAAATTTCATTAGTGCAGAAGCCATAGGTCTAAAGCAGTGGTTCCCAACCTTTTTTGACCAGGGACTACTTGATCAGGGACCACTCTCCAACAATAGTACCAAAGGGGTTACGAATCAGTTTTTGGCCAACTTTAAATTCAGTTTGGTTATTTGGGGTGCTGATTCAGAAAACTGCATTGGACAGACCATATCAGCTCTACTCGCCAATAGAAAACCATATTTAATAAGCCTCAGCACTATAAGAGGGTTTAATGAGACCAGTCACTCTCGTTACAACAATGTAGTGATGGGGAGGCCGCGGACCATATTTTAGTTCTTGTGGACCACTGGTGGTCCACGGACCACAGGTTGGGAACCACAGGTCTAAAGGAAGGCTTCTGCGCTAGTTCCAAGAAGCAGGCTATTATTTCACTTGCTTAGCGTCTAGTTCATGTCCACCCAAACTTCATACTTCCTTTGCTCAATAATAATAATAATAACAATAACAACAACAACAACAACAACAACAAATAATTTATTTATATTTCATCCTATCTCCCCAGGGGCGGCTTTTTTGCCCGAAAACACTTTAACTTGCGTTCTTGATCTGTAACTACACTTTCTATATGGCAAGAGTTTATTTATTTATTTATTTATTTACTTTGCTTATATACAGGACCCAAATGGCAGAGATAGTCTGTAGTGCTTTTTTCTGAGACTCCCAGGATTTGCCTGGCATGCTGCCGATTGTCTGGAATCTGCTTCTAACAACTATCCACTCTTCATCAAATAAACTGACTCTTTCAGTCCTGCCTTTTCCTCTCTCATCTGTGCCAATGTGTCTCCTGGTGAACTTGGACAAGAGCACAAGACACAGGTCTAAACTAAGACAAATCATTGGTCCATCGATCCCAGTACTACAGACTTTGGACTGGCCTTGGCTGACCAGGGTTTCAGCAGGACTCTTTCCTATCCCTGACATCCCCTGGTGGTACCCCATCCAGAAACTAGCCAGGTCTGCCAGCTTTTATTCAGTATTATTTCATGCTTCAATTTTTGTGCATATAGTAGTCTTGTTGCCATGGTTGGATATCACAGCAATCTTTCATATTTCCTTTCCAGTTACTCATCCATGAGTCCCAATAGAAACAGCTCAAGTTTAAATGGAACAGTCATCTTCAACACCTCATGTATTAAATAAAGTATGTATGTACCAGATTTCATAGAATCATAGACTTGGAAGAGACCTCGTAGGACAACCTCATTCTGCCAAGAAGCAGGAAAATTGTATTGAAAGCACCCCTGACAGATGGCCATCCAGCCTCTGCTTAAAAGCCTCCAAAGAAGGAGCCTCCACCACACTCTGGGGCAGAGAGTTCCACTGCTGAACAGCTCTCACAGCCAGAAAGTTCTTCCTCATGTTCAGGTGGAATCTCCTTTTGAACCCATTCTTTGTTTTTCCCATGTCTACCACATAAGAGAGAATGCCAGCACTGCAATCCTTTATACTAGGGTGGGGTGGGGGGGGTTCCTTAACAATCAGCCACCTAGGGTCACCAACGCTGTCCTTAAATTGTCAAATGTTTAAGATCAACTGGAAAAAAGGTGTTCTATATTTCCCCATCCTATGTAACACACACAGTAATTTTTTTCCCTTTCTTTTTTCCTGCTAACCTCCTAATACATCCTTTCTGAGTTCCTGAGGTCAGGCCTGTTTCACTAAAACTTAACTTGTCTTTCAGCCTCGAAAGATGGCCTTGCAGTCTCCTATGGCTTTCCCCAAACTCAATTTCTGCTTCTAGTATCAGAGTTACTGAGCATCATACAAGAGCAACGACCTGAGCTGCCTTACTCAATTGAATATGAGTACAATAAAACAGAAAAGCTTTCCAACTTGATAGTTGTCTATGTTCTAGAGCTAGATTTCTCACTGTAAGCAAGTATGGCACGTAATTCACCATCTGAATGCTGTATCTCTGCAAAGGATCCTAATATTTTGTGTTATTTGTGTACATGTCTAAAATCCATGACCGGGTGAAGAATGAACGAAGCGACAGAGAACATCCACTGCCACATTATTTGTATTGCTTCAGGATATCCAATAAAAAGGCTCAAATGAAGCTCTGAACAACCTTTTACTCTACCCAAAGTACTGAATTATTAGCAAGATTTAGAAATCCATCATGATCCCAGAAAGGGAAATGACAATCTGGGGCTGTTGCAGCTCATCAGAGTTTTAGCCCTTCCTTCCCCTTTCCTCTTCACATGTACATTCCAAATAGCACAGAACAATTCATGTGAGCTCTTACCAAAAACAGAAAAGAAAAAGCGAACACTAAGAATGTATTTCACTGATCCTCAACTTTGTGCAGCTCAAGTCATGCTCCTAAAAAATTATTTCCCCCTTCAGGGAGAGCTATTGAAAACATATAAACTGAGAGTCTTTAGTGACTTTTTTTCTCATGCTGTTGTGTGTGCACATCCTGCCACTGCCAATACAGGCGGACGGAGGAAATCATTCCAACACTGACATCAGAAGAATAGAGCTGGGTGACTCTGATCTCCTTCCAAACAAAGCAGCAGTTCTGTCTGAGCCTCCTTCTGTCCAAATCACATTGCGATGATGGAACAGTGAGGTTATACAGCTCACCAGCAAGTTTTCATGGTGTAAAGAAGGAAAAAGCCACTGTTTTTAGAGCCTTGAATTTAGCTTCTATTTCGACATCTATTGTCCTGAACCCAGCGTGCTTTACAAGTCATCCCCCCTTTTTAAAATAGACACATACACAAAATATGTCTTTTACATCCTCTAACAAAGGACCAATTAATTGAAATCTCTTACTAAGGATAGTCATAACCTCTGAATGGTTTCTGCATTTCCAAAGAACTCCTCACTGATTTCCTTGCCCTAACATGCCTCTGAGCAGTCTGTGACTTTACCAAGTTTCCATTTCCTCCACGACCACAAGAGAGATTCAGCAACACCTCTGCTGTAAATGGCTAGCTTCCTCGATTCTGACAGACATACCATAAGTCAAGAGACCCAACTGCTCATCTGCTATGTAATGCTCAAAAGTGTTTTTGTGATCTAGCCAAATAAACCACAGAAGCCCCCAACAAGAAAATAAAAGGTTCCCTAAATTTGAACCATACAACTGTGAAATATTACAACTATATGTTAACAGCGAGAGCAGTACTGACTCCTGTTGCATATTATCTGGCTTGGGTCATACTCATAATCCTGCCTTGGGGACAGACTCAAAATGGGGAATAAAAAGTCATTGCCTTTCTTGGTTTATCTATTCCCAGAAAACCCGAGGACATAATAACGAACCTGATTCCATAGTCACACATGCCTTTCTTCCCATAATATCGCAGCACAACATGCAGGCTGCATCATTGTTGTCCCTCCACCTATTCCCAAAAAAAGCATCCTTTCCTGAGGAAGAGAACTGCATTCTCAAAAGCTTGCACAGAATGAAGTCCAGTGGCAAAGTAACTTCATGAAACAGACTTGAATGTTTTATGTCAATTCAGTTCAGCACTATAATAATACTACTACTAATATTTTTATTTATTTATTTTTGATTTTTTTGATACGAAATCCGGCATATAGATCTCGTTTGCTGTGACATACTGTGGCTTTGTGTCAGTAAAATAATAATTATTATTATAATTATAATAACTTTATTTTTATACCCCACCAACTATCTCCCCAGGGGGACTCGGGGCAGCTTACAAGGGTAAGCCCAAAAAGTTACAAATAAAACACAAACAATCAAGAACATCAGATAAAATATAAAAACAACCCCAATTATAACAACATCAAAACAATATGGCTGGGAAAAGGAACATAGCTGAGGTACAGGCTTAATGAGTGCAATACATCCTGAAGGGAGCACAAGGAAAGTGCAACAATCAAGTAGACAGGTTTAATTCAGATTTAAGTCAGCTTACAAGGGCTTGATAAAGGTGTTTGGAACTACATAAACAATCAGCCCAAAATGCCACTGTGTAATTCTGTTTCAATGAGGAATCCTTAAGGAAAACATAAAATCCAATATATATCAGAAAAGTTTGCAAGCCATCTGGGTAGATCTGTGAAGATTCCATAACAATTTCTTCCAGAACCTACTGATTTAGTTGGAAGGTGCCTCAAATGCCACTCCTAACCTACAAAAAAGAAGAGAAGAAACTTCAAAGGCCCCTGTGATGATGATTGAAAAAGATAGAACAGAAGCAGCATGAGAAGCAAGCAGGGCAGATTCAACTTTCTATGCAAATTGAGTATTCAAGCACACCTCTGAAGAGGCTTCGCTGTATCTTAATATTATCAACAATATCTGAGATCACTATTTTTGTTTTTTAAAATGTTCAACTGTGATCAAGATTTTGCACTTTCTTCAAATTCCAGTTACTCATTTCTTATCCATACAAAACAGGCCCTGCTCAAAGCAAAAGTTTCTAGATCAGTGGTTCTCAACCTGTGGGTCCCCAGATGTTTTGGCCTTCAACTCCCAGAAATCCCTACAGCTGGTAAACTGGCTGGGATTTCTGGGACTTGTAGGCCACAACACCTGGGGACCCACAGGTTGAGAACCACTGTTCTAGATACAGAGAAATTCTCTAACTTTGCGGAAACATAAGCTTTATGCATTAAAATTAAGAAATATCCAGAAAAAGGCAGAGCTGTGGGATTCTAGAACACATGGGAATCTCAGGGCACACATAAAGAAAATACTAGAGTAAATAATCTCTATCTGGACAGGAACTTCTGTGTTCACAGTGAACATTATTTTTGGTCTTGCCCAGGATTGTAGCAAGAAATGTGCAAAGAAATGGAATAGAGAAACCCAATATTTTA